TCTCCCTCTTCACGCCTTCCTGTCACTGGCAGAACCGCGCGTGTCTTTTATACAGACGTCTGTGAAAAATATGTATGTATTTACGAATTTGAGCTCCATTTAATTTTGGTGGCGTGTTTCAGATTTGTTCTTGGGTAGCTCCTGTTAGCGTAGCGGGAAAATACACCCTGAGACCTCCTAATCACGCAGGAGAGGTGGAATAAAGCTGGTTTAACTAGCCAATATGAATTGTGGGACTTTGAAAATGATCTTTTTATTTAATTTCTGTGAAAGAAAAGCAGTATTAACCCATCTTTCCTAGTACATTAGCAATACTGTTACCTTAAGTACTTTAAATGTGATCTGACACCCATAGAGCTTCAGAGAACTTTTGTTTCTGTTTCTACAGAAAGAACCAACATGCAAAGTGGAAGGGAAGGAGAAAGTGCTCTTTTAACAGAAAAGTGTTGGCTTTCTGCCTCTTTCACATGGGAGGAGGAGGACTATCTGAATCATTGAAGCAAAATTTGGGCATCGTTGGCGGAAGATAAGATGAAAGAATTGCGAATATGTCAACACTCTATGACTAGTAATTCAGATGCACCTTTCACAAACAGAAGGGAATAGTCACTAAAAGCACTGCAGCTTCATCAAAAGGAGCTAATGGAGGATGTATGTTGATTCTTTCTTTAAATCAATTTTTTTTCCTTCTCACTCTCCCCTGAGTTCCAAAAGAGAAAGGTGGAAAGAGCATGTATGGAAATTGAAATAAGAGGAAGGCTGAAGACAATAACTGCAGTTTTGGAGTCTATTTTCCAAGTGCTGTAAATTCCCTGTTTCATCAAATGCAACGTGTTGTTTTGAATAAATTATATCATTTTGTGATCAGTGAAATTTTTGTCAGCTCTAAAAATGGAATGTGACCTCATTGAAAGCTTTTTTAAAAAGTAAATGTGTGACTCTGGTTCCTTTTATCAAGGCAAATTTTTAAAGTTACCGAGCTAGATCATTTCAGTCTCTTGCTGTGCACTGCTGACCTGTGTTTTACATGAGTATCTTAAGGGATTTTACTTTTTCCCTTAGTTTAGTATTTATGCTGTAGTGTTGGGTTTGAGAAAAGTGTGAACAGACAAGTCACCTGAGAATTAAGTTTTCAACAGCTTTTGTATCAGTTTTGTAGCTCAGATTACTAGTAATCTGAGTATCAATTGGAATGCACAGTGCATGTTAAGTCTTTTCTCCTAGAAATATACCTTAAGATGTCGATTTTTGTACAAACTGGATACAAGTTTGATATTTGAATATTGTGTTTTGTTAGGAAATGCATACCTGGGGAAGAGGAGCTGCCTAATGGATCATGGCTTTGATGTTCACGGGGCATACTTTATTTCTAGCATTAATGATGTTTGCTGTCTTCACTTTTGAAGAATCTGTGAGCAATTACTCTGATTGGGTGACTTTCATAGAAAATGTAGATCAATACGAAAAACAGCAACTTGAAGGTCTTAGTGCTGAGCAGAAGCTGAAAAAAACCATTCTTCATCCAAGCTTGTATTTCGACGCTGAAGATGTTCAGGTACTGAGGCAGAAGGCTCATACAAGCCATTCTCATCTATTTAGAGCCATCAGGAGCGCAGTGACAGTTATGCTATCCAACCCATTATACTACCTACCTCCACCCAAGCATGCTGATTTTTCTGCAAAGTGGAATGAGATTTATGGTAACAATCTGCCACCTCTAGCGTTCTATTGTTTGCTGTGCCCCGAAGATAAAGTTGCATTTGATTTTGCCCTGGAGTATATGGATAGAATGGCTGGCTACAAAAACTGGTTGGTTGAGAATGCACCTGGAGATGAAGTGCCACTTGGTCACTCCCTAACAGGTTTTGCCACTGCTTTTGACTTTCTGTATAATTCACTGGAAAATGAGAGACGGCAAAAATATCTGGAGAAAATATGGTCTGTAAGCGAGGAAATGTATGAGTACTCGAAGGTTCGTTCCTGGGGAAAGCAGCTTCTTCATAATCACCAAGCTACTAATATGCTTGCTTTGCTTATTGGGGCTTTAGTTGCAGGAGTGGACAAAGGATCACAGGCAAATATTTGGAAACATGCTGTTGTTGATGTCATGGAGAAAACAATGTTTCTGCTCAATCATATTGTAGATGGGTCTCTGGATGAGGGAGTAGCTTATGGGAGTTACACAGCCAAATCAGTAACCCAGTACGTTTTCTTGGCCCAGCGCCACTTTGGTATTAACAACTTGGAGAATAACTGGCTCAAAATGCACTTTTGGTTTTACTATGCCACCCTATTGCCAGGCTTTCAGAGGACTGTGGGCATAGCAGATTCTAATTACAACTGGTTTTATGGTCCTGAGAGCCAACTGGTTTTCTTGGATAAGTTTATCCTGAAGAATGGAGCTGGCAACTGGTTGGCACAGCAGATTAGAAAACATAGACCCAAGGACGGGCCAATGGTGCCATCCACTGCACAGAGGTGGAGCACACTACACACTGAATTTATATGGTACGCTGCCGAAATCACACCTCAGCCACCTCCTGACTATGGTTCTGCTAAAATGCATGTGTTTCCTAACTGGGGAGTTGTTACTTATGGGGCTGGTTTGCCAAACAGTCAGACAAACACCTTTGTGTCCTTTAAGTCTGGAAAACTTGGTGGACGTGCTGTCTATGATATTGTTCACTTTCAACCATATGCCTGGATTGACGAGTGGAGGAGTTTCAATCCAGGACATGAACATCCTGATCAGAACTCTTTTACATTTGCTCCCAATGGCCAGGTGTTTGTATCTGAGGCTCTTTATGGACCTAAACTCAGCCACCTGAACAATGTCTTGGTCTTTGCTCCATCTCCTACAAGCCAGTGCAACCAGCCTTGGGAGGGACAGCTTGGTGAGTGTGCCCAGTGGCTGAAGTGGATTGGTGAAGAGGTTGGAGACTCAGCTGGAGAAATTGTAACAGCCTCCCAGGCTGGAGACATGATGTTTGTAAGTGGTGAGGCGGTATCTGCTTACACGTCAGCAATGAAACTGAAAAGCGTGTATCGCATTTTGCTGCTCTTAAATTCTCAGACATTGTTAGTCGTAGACCACATCGAGAAGGAGGAAGACTCTCCTGTTAATTCTGTCAGTGCCTTTTTTCATAATCTTGACATTGATTTTAAATACATACCCTATAAATTTAAGAACAAATACAATGGAGCTATGATGGATGTGTGGGATGCCCACTACAAGATGTTTTGGTTTGATCATCATGGGAGTAGTCCTGTTGCTAGGATACAGGAGGCAGAACAAGCTGCTGAATTCAAAAAACGATGGACTCAGTTTGTAAATGTTACCTTTCCAATGAAAAACATGCTTACAAGGATTGTTTACCTTTTCTATGGCCCCTATGTCAATGTTTCCAACTGTAGACTCATAGATAATGCAAAATCTGGATTTCAGATTTCCCTTAGTGTCAACAACACTGAAAATACCATCTCTGTTGTGACTGAATATCAGAATTTAAAGACAAGGTTCGATTACTTGGGATTTGGTGGTTTTGCCAAAGTAGTTCATGAAAACAGTGTGACCAAGTTTGGTCTAGGTACTGAATCTGTGAAAAAACAGATAAAAAATAACAAGGTGGTTTTCCCGTTTGGATTCAAAGTGAACATAGTTGCAGGGTTAATTTTGGGTGTTAGTTTGGTCATACTGGCTTTTCAGTGGCGGTTTTACATATCCTTTGGTAAAATGTTGCGCTGGATCCTGATACTGGTTGTCACACTGTGGCTTATTGAATTGGTGGATGTGTGGAGCACGTGTACTCGGCCCATCTGTGCAAAATGGGGCAGTGACATGACAAAGCTAGAACATGATAAAGGCAATAAAGCCAAACAATTAGAAGGAAACCCTGTTGCTTTGCCAGATGTTATCATTACTTCACTTCCCGCTTCTGGTGCAGAAATTTTAAAACAGCTGTTTTTCAATAGCAGTGACTTCTTATACATCAGGATACCTACACCCTATCTCGAAATTCCTGAGACTGAATTTGGAATTGATTCCTTTGTAGATCCATGTGAATGGAAAGTTTCTGATGTCCAGAGTGGTCATTTTCATCTTATCCAAGGGTGGCTCCAGTCTCTAGTTCGAGGCACAAAGTTACATTTACAAAACATACATTTATATGAAGCCAGCAGAAGTAAAATTGCTCAGCGTTCCACCATAAACAAAGACAAAAAGAAAAGATCCAAAAAGAGAGAATCTCTGTCAGAGCAAAGAAGCAGAGCAAGAGGCAGTCAAGATAAAGATGCTGAATATATTAGGGAACTGAGAAGACATCTTATTTATTATCCTAGTGCACGACCTGTGCTTAGTTTAAGTAGTGGAAGCTGGACGTTAAAGCTTCCCTTCTTTCAGGAAATCCTAGGACCGTCAATGAGAGCGTTATATGTAGTAAGGGATCCACGGGCATGGGTCTATTCAATGTTGTACAAAAATAAGCCAAGCCTTTACTCCTTGAAAAATGTTCCACAGCACTTGGCTGCAATGTTTAAAGGAGACAATGGTAAAGGAAGATGTAGTTTAAATGAAGGCTATGCCTTTGAATATGAATCATTAAGAAAAGAACTTTCAAATTCTAACTCAAACGCTGTTTCTGTGTTGTCCTATTTATGGCTAGCAAACACAGCAGCAGCACTGAGAATTAATGGGGACTTGCTACCAACAAATTACCATCTCGTCAAGTTTGAAGATATTGTGAGCTTTCCTCAGAAGACTGCTGAAACAATTTTTGCCTTTCTTGGTATTCCTCTTCCTCCTGCTAGCTTAAACCAAATATTATTTGCCACCTCCACCAATCTTTTCTATCTTCCTTATGAAGGGGAGATTTCACCAAGTAGCATTCATGCCTGGAAACAGAACTTGCCCAGTGAAGAGATTAGACAGATTGAAGATATTTGTTGTTCTCTAATGGACCACTTAGGTTACCCGAAGTTTATAGAATAAATGCTGCCGGTCAGCAGAAATTTGCACTAATGATCCCTTACTCCTAATCTGTGGATAGAAGTTTGTCTATTCTTGTAAAATGTGTACAGTCTGCTACTTTCAGAGAGATTATTTTAAGAAAAAGATAGTTGTTCCTGCAACTGTGTTGTGGTATGTTGTTTGTTGTTTTCTTTTTTTTGTTTGTGTTGTATTGGGTTTTTTTAAAAAGCAAAATTTGTAACTATTTTTGTTGTCTTTCAAAAAAAAGCTGTGTGAACTTTTATAGAACTACCAGCTGGGGATTCCATAGCTCAGGGCATTAGTAATAGCATGTGGAGTTTTTCATCTCCAGCTCTCCCCAGTTTGACTCTAGCCCAAATGGAAAGTACTTACCATCTGATGATTGTATGACAGCTTATATGAACTGGTTAAACTGGCCCAGTTTCCATTGGTGATAATTACCTCCATTGGACAGGTTTAATGATGCATTCTGTCTGTGTCTTACTGGTCTCTGTAGTGGTGCAAAATAAACATAAGGTGAGATTTAAGACTGTTCAGCATCCATTTAGCAGGAGGAAACAGAACATTTGAATGAGTCTAGTTGCTTATTTACAGTCTCAGTAGACATGCCCAGGACTGGGATGGACATGGATATTGAATATCATTATAGGATATGGTTCTTTCCACTCAGAGATGTGACACTTGTGGCACTTGTATTGGATTTTGTGATTTGGGGAAGAGAAGACTTCATTCTCTGACAGCGTGGTACCCTTTATGAGCCTTAAGTAAGCTATCTGAAAAAAAGAAATGGGGCAAAATCAAAGTAACCAACAAGATCTCCTGAACAAGCAGTTAGAGTTGGAGAAGATTTTGAGTACTTTTGACCTGCCTCAACGTAACTTTAATTTTGAAGGTTGTTAACATCTTGGTGCCTTGCACTGCTTTATCCTGTACCTCGTCTAAGAGGTTCTGCAAGGATCTTCTCTTTTTGAGTAAGACTCTTCCATCCTTCTTTGTTGTAACACATTTCTCTGCTGATTCTTGTGCATAACTTCACTGTTGATTCTTGTGCATAGTTTCACTGATATCAGTGCAAATATTTGCTGTCATTGTTAATGGCTTATTGTTAATGTCTGCATAAAAGAGCAGTCTGAGATTTAGAAGATCTTAAATAAATCTCCAGGTCTGTGTTTCTGAGAGGTGTTTTGCTTTTCTGTATAATGGATTTCTGAAGGACAACCACTGCTAATCTCAGGTCTTATTTCAGAGAGGGGAGAAATCTGAAAAAAGCCCGTCCCTCAACCTTATCATTCGAGTGATGTTTCCCTGCAGTAAACATTTTCCAAAGTTGTCTGTTTTTTAATCATGATTGGTATTTCTTTAACACGGTGCTGTAATATGATACTGGTTTGGAAACAGATAAGCTTGATAGGATAGATGTGTCTTTGCCACAGCTTATTTGCTTCTTGAGTCACCCACACTCTTTTTTTTGCACATGCCCATTAAGAAAAAAGATTCCCATTTCCCAATTCAGCTTGCTCAGCATTCTTTGGAAATGCATGCATATTGTAAATGTCTGCAGATGTGTAAATCAGATCACAAAGAGAAGTCTGTCTCCTTTACCATCTGTTTTTTATTACAATTGGAATTGTCTTGAAATATCCTTCAGTTGGTTTGTGGGAGCTGGAATCAGAGTGTTGGCTTATTGTATTGAAATATGGGTGTAATTACTGTTTATTTGGGTGGTAAGCATTAGATAATGTCAAAAGTGCAGTGAGCTTCTTTGTACAGATTACAGGTACCCTTGCTGATTTTTAATATAAAGGAGTTCTTGTCCTTCCTTTCTTCCTTCCAATCTTACTATTATGTCCATGTCTTACCCTGCTGTCTTGTCCCTCCCATACATACATTTCACATCTTTTGGAGCATGTTGTGGTATCTCATATGACCTAGATAAAAGTAGCTCGCTCTTGGCCAGTCATTAGTATGTCAGAATAGGCCTCTAGCATGATAAATCTATTGATTTTATTATTTTTTTTTAATCCTGCCATCTCACTAACCATAACTTAGCTGTCACTTACTAGTGGTATTTTTTTCCCCCCTTCAGTCTTCAGTTTCACCCCTGGCTAGGTGGAATGACATATTAAAGGAAATATTAAATAATACACCCTGACAAACTAGTGAAACTGTTTTCCAAGTATCATCCTCTCTGAAGCCATTTTTTATTAAATGTTTTAAAAAAAAGAGAAAAAAGTACTGATGTCTGTACAGTCTGTATTTAACAGAGCAAGTTTCAGCATTTGCCTTCTATTTCCAGGATTTACACTCTAGAGTAAGAACAAATAAAAAAGGCTTCTCTCTGTGAGATGCTTTAGGGCAGCTGCAGATAAGAATTAAGACCAACTGTATATTTGTAGAAATAGGAAGAGACCTTTAAATCGCTCTCTGAAAATGGCACAATATCCTATAAACCAACTTTTTTTTTTTTGCTTTTGAGGAGTTAGGGTGGACAAAATCGTCTATTGGGAGCATCATGTGTGTGCTGCTTTTGGAATAGGTTATCCCATGCACTTATTTTCTGTAATTAGTTATATGCAGGATTTAGGGGCTATTTGTTTTCTGTGCTACACTTCCTTGGCTCAAAGAATGCAGAATCTATTATTCAAGTTTCATTGCACTGTGTGTTCCTTATACAGATGTAAAAGGGTAGAAGAGAACTCTGTTCTTTATTTTTAGATCTTGTTGTGAGGACAAATGCATTATAATCATTATACTAAAAATATGTAAAAGGAAATACAGTGTCTTTGAGAACAACAGTAGGAATACCTCAGGGATGTCGAGTCTCCCATTTTCAATCAAATAATTTTGTTGAATTTTAGGTAATAAGTTACATGACAATTTCACCAAGGTTAGTACCAGACAGGAGGTATCCCAGCTACAGAACTGCATGACTGTGTTGAGGTTGTGGCCTTCTACCTATACGAATAGCAACCAAAGACACCGCAGAAAGCTCAATAAACGTGCATGTGGTTGACAAGAATATCCAGTAAAAGATGCAGATCTGGGACTTTGTAGAATAAATTTCAGTGGCATCATCCATAAAATGACAGTTGTGGTATGGAGAAGCGGAAATATTGTGGAGGCCTGACGATTTAAAACAATAAATAAATTTGCTTTTCTCTATTGAAGGATAAATTCCATTTTATGCGTGTGCTGATCTTAAGTAAAATTGGTTATTAAATGGATTGTTATTTTTTTCTTATGCAAATGTTGTCATTGAGGCTAGTGTGGCTCCATATATGAATAATATGACTGCAATTTCTTAATATGAAATGATTTTGTGGATGTGTAGAGTTATTCTCAGAGTTCTCTTCTGTGGCTAGCATTCAGAGAGAGAATAGTCACTACATAGACACAGACATTGACATCCCTGTTCTCCATATAGTAATGTTTAAGACTGTCAGTAAAATTTGAGAATTGTTAAAGCATTGTATTGAAAAGTGTTCTGTCACTTTCAGTTACTTTACCAGATGATCATTAAGGTTTCTTCCAAACCAAACCCTTCTATGATTTTATATCATAAAGATGTATATGAAAACCCGTCTCAGTACTTTATCTTAACTTTGCTTCCTTTCTCTCCCTGTGTTAAGTTTTGGTAATTATTTGTACTATATTGTAGTTTGAACTGTCCAATTATGAGACAGATAAACTTTTGATGTATTTTAAAGAGGCAGGCTTTATTTAAATGTTTATTTCTCTGAATCATATTTGGAAGCCTAAGAAAAATAAATGCTGAGGAAAACATTTCAGTTATCTACTTACTTTGTAACTAGGTGACATTGGCTCTGGGGAGATTGCATGTGGGTCTCAGCATTCAGAGTTCTATTATACTGCATGAATCTCTAGTCTGAGCATACCTAAATGCCTCTGTTTCTCTCAGTATGCTTTTTCCAAGAGCAACGTCTATAGAGATGAGCCTCGATGTCATGGTCAGATTGGTCCCTTTCACTCTCTTAGCACACAGCTGATATACAGTTCTCATTTGGTTTATGTTTGAAAAGTTAATTTGCCAGATCCATATTGAATTCCTGCACACAATCCTCAGATATATGTAGAATATATGTCACAACTCATTTGAGAGTGTAATACTACTCTATTAGTGTTAGAATGCAAATCAAACAAGAAATGTACTTCAGGTTTTATAAAGTTATTGGTAACTGATTTGTAAAGCTGCAGTCAAAGATCAGATATTTTTTAACCATAAAAATGGTTTCACTTGCTGTTGAAAGTTAATGATGTGACTGCTAGGGGAGTCCTGGCTCCTCCTGACGGTCAATTATTTCCATTATTAGTCTTAGAGACACTATTTATTTGAACATGAATGTACATAATCTGGGATATAAGACTGTATTTACTGAAAACATTTGAAGTACACAGTTCAAGATTAAAGATAAAAATATATTACTGCAATATTTCTCTAAATTACACCAATTAGCCCCTTTGTGAGTGACCTATATGTTGGGTTTCATCTGTTAGAATATTTTATAATTAAGAACAGTGATATTTATTTAGGTGACTTAGTAGTAATTTATCAAAAATGCTTGCTTTTTAATTGCACATAAGTTTATTTTCTTCAAGAGGATAAGTACTGCATCTTAACACTCCTATGATCAGAGCATCATAAGCTTTCCTTCCTTTCTCTGGACTCCCTGTTAGCTTTAGTTCTGACTAAAACCTTTGTTTAAATCTCGTTGCATTTCAGTGTAGAATGTCATGGACTACGATTCATGGATGCAATCCTCACATTGTGAACTGTTCAGAATTGTGCCATGTGGAACAATGACTTGCTGACCTCAATGAATGTTGTGCCATTGACTTCAACAGGGCCAAAATACCTTCAACTATCATCATAAAGCTATTATCACCTACTTAGCCTGAATATTCCCAAACAGCAGAAATTATAGAAAATACTTTAAATTATCATAAAAGATTACCATTCTTGTTATTTCGTGATAAAATTA